GCCACCACCATATCTACCTTATTTTGTGTCTTTTTAGAAAATTATGAAGACACAGAACGTGTTCATTAATAAAAATTTGCAAGATATGGAGAACCATACAAGACAGATAAAAAAATCACTCATAAGCCCATTGTAAATTTTAAAGATTTAAACTAAACAGCAACAGTACCCCTTTCTGCCCCAAGTGCATTATCTTCTAGTGTTTTTTTTTTCTTTTAGAAAATATAGTTCATACAGCTTCTCTCTTTTACATGGCTGAATGACTCTCATCTCCAGTTTGGGAGTCTATTGGGTTCATGATATACTGCAGGGGATTCTCTGTCTATGAATTCTGGTGTTTCTGAAGGATAGTCCCACAACTAGTACAACGGTAATTTAAATTGATAGAGCTGCCACCAAATAGCCTGCAGAGGAGGAGAGTGTTCTTCCCCACTTCCTAACATCTCTAAAAGTTTCCATCATCCCGTAAGCTATATCAGTACCGTATTTGGTATGAACTCAGAAGAGATGTGACATTTTCAATTGAGTGTTCTTTAGTGTGAAATTCCATGTTATTTGCAGGTGTGCAATGTTGTGGATATTTCCCTCTGAATTGCTTGTTCATGGTTTGCACTCTTTCTCCTGGATGACTTGTGCCTTCCTGTTTCCTGCCCCCCTTGGGTGTCTTGATACAATTGTGTCCTGATCACTGCTAACATTACCTTCTTACCTTTGACTCTCCTTTATGTTGTTTCCAGCACACAGTATGTTTTGTCTGGTTAAGTACAAAACTGGGCCTGGGCCTGTCTTCTTTGGAGCATATGGAGCTTGCAACTCAAAGATGTCCTCGGGCTTCTCCAAGAAGTTTTAACAGCCTGGGGTAGAGGGTACTGTGCTGTTGATTTGTTTCTTTTTCATCTTTCTTTTCCCCTCCATAAGAATTCTCTGGCAGCCGATCCTTCATTTCTCTTTGCATATATTACTTTTCTGCTGACCTGATCCAGTCACAAACTATCATTTAATCTTATATGGCCTACAAAGGTAAACCATCGAGCCTGCCAGTATTATGTGTATAAAAGAGAGGCAAAGCAGTATGAGTTGGCTTGAGACCAAAGGCCTAGGCTCCAGTGAGGGACCATGGGATGTCTGCTGGGCCTGTACAGGGATGTGTTCTCCTTGGCTGAGATGCCGGATTACTATTCCTGATGGAAATAGGCCGAGTCTTACAGGAGAGACCTTCCCTCTACAGCTATGCACAGAGCCTTCAACAGCTGGCTTAGACAATAAACTGTAACTACACTAGACTGTGTATACTGTTCCTCCTCGTCCCGCCCCCAGCCCCATGCCATCTGCAGCCACAAGAGACTTTCTTCCAGTCTCTGCTGATGTCACCAAGTATGTATCCTGGTACTGATGAACCTGTGAAGCCCTGCTCTATTCTGACAACCACTGGGTGTGCCTGGACCTGCTCACTTTGCACTTGGCATTATAACAGCTTTTACACCTATTTGTCTGTCTTCTTTTGGGTTCTCCAAAGGGACATGACTATAATATTAACCTACACACCACAGGCATGGAGCTCAGAACATGGTGAGAACTTGGGGTAATAATGCCTAGGAAACCCTTTGAGTTATTGGTCAGGGGAATCCAAGAGACTCCCCAAAACAATATAAGCTATCGCTATTGTTTGACTACTGGTATGAAGACCATAGAACTTGGAGGAATCCAGCAGGAACTGACCTGAAAGTCTCCTCTGAAAAGGAATTCAAAGTCCTAAAACCACAATAATGACCACTACAGAAAGATGCACCCAAGAGTGCAATAGTCACACTTATATTTTGGGAATAATCAACAACCACTTAATTGGACATAAGGCCCATTCAGTAGGAGGGAGAGCATGGCTGGTACTTAAACCTTGCCAACTACATATGGCTGATGACATCATGGACCCTGGAGGACCTTACAACTGCCATGTTCCTAAACCAGTATAATTCTCAACTTCATTCTACATGGCTATCTTTTTATCCACAGATAAATGCATCTCTCATCCCTAATCAAAGAAGCTTTTCTTTTCAGCAGGCTAAGAACCATCACAGAAATCCACAACTGGTCAAAATGCAGAATACAATTGACTGTGAGGTGCCCATCTCTGAGGTGCCCATCTACAACATAACCCTTATACCCAAGGCTCAGGAAACAATGTAGAAAAGAGGGGTGAAAAGAATGTAAGAACCCAAGGACCAGGATGTCTGCCATAAGATGGTGTCTTTTTATCTATGACAGAGTTGCATCTGTGAAATCGGTGAAATCTTTTTTTTTAAACAGTAAATGCTTATTTATTAAACCCACACACATGGTAAGGGTAGAGCTTGGACATGCCTATCCTAGCCATGAACGATACACAACAGTCCTGATCCAGGACCATATCCTCACTCCTTCTCCTCTGCTGGGAGCATCTCAGACTTATATCAATTTCTACAATTACACATTATCCTGAAGGGTAATGGTAAGCTTGTTCCAACGTTGGAGTCTCTTCAGAAAGTGGGAGAAAGTGCAGAGATAGCCTCGGCTAGTAGAAACTGCTTTGTTTTCCTTTCACACCCATGAATCTTAACAATATGGTTGCTTAAACAAGACAGGCACAGTGACATAACAAGATGACATCCTAACATGGAGGAGGGAATAAGTTTAACAAATGTAAAAGTTTGAGCATATATGTGTGACATTTTGAACCATTCTGAAAAACATAAAAAGAGCATGAAATACATGATTTAAAAACCTTACCCATGCCAGGCAGTGGTGGTGCACACCTTTAATCCCAGAATTCTGGAGGAAGAGGCAGGTGGATCTCAGTGAGTTACAGGCCAGCCTGGTCTACAAGAGTTAATTCCAGGACAGCTAGGGCTACACAGAGAAACTCTGTCTTGAAAAAAAGGAAGAAAGAAGGGATGGATGGATGGATGGATGGAGGGAGGGAGGGAGCCTTGGGAGGGTGAATCAACATTTTGAAGGCATCATTTCTCCTGAAAGTAAATTATAAATTTAATCAGTACTATTAACGGTGTCATCAAACTATTTTGTTAAGTTAAGTAAGTTGATACTAAATTTCATGTGGAAAAACACATTTAAGAGTAGCCATGAAAACACTACAGGGGAAGCCCTAGAAGGCATTAGAACACATTAGTGCCTCTAGGGTTCAGGTAATGTGTCATTGGAGCTGGGATGGATTAGTGACTGGTGGAATGAAAAGGAAAGTCCATAATTAGACCCAAGCATGCATGGGGACTTGTTATAGGATGACTATGATATCTCAGATCACTGTAATTTAAACAAACATGGATATGTATCCCATGCCCTACACAAGAGTAATTGAGTGTCTGAGATATCTAAATGTAAAAGTTGAGGCCAGGAAGGCACCAGAGAGAAACAAGGAGCAGTCATTTTAATATCTGCCTGAGAAATGACGTTCTAACTGTGGCTCAGACTCATCATCGTAAGCAAAGTTAGAAGACAAAGGACCATGTGGGAGAGCATATTTATAGCATCCTTTTCTGCAGAGAGAACGCCTTAAAAAAAGACCCCCACATGATAGTATGAAGCTATAATCCTTTCTCCTGGGAGGTGGAGACAGAAGGATAAGAAGTTCAAGGTCATCCTTGTCTACATACCAAGTTCGGGGCCATCCTGGGATATAGAAAACCTGTCTAAAAAACAATGGGAAACAGGTAACCAGGACAATTCATTAAAACCCAAAATGCAAAAGAAATTCTAAATATAAAGTGATGTTAAAACATAAATATAATTACTGAAATGCAAATTAAGATATCTATTCTCACCTGTCAAACTGACAAAAACTGACAGCACATTCTGTTGGCCAAGAACATAGAGAAGCAGACTTTCAGACATCAGTGACTGGAGTACAAACTGCTACAGCCCATCTGGAGGGAATTTTGTTACAACAAAAACTATATCTATATTTGACCCAGCAATCCCATGTCTAGAAAACTGCTACCCTGCAGGTACAACTCCAGTGATAAAAAAAAAATGCATACATGCTAGAATGTCCATTGCTTCTAACTGCACAGCACTGAAAATGCCTCACCATTCACACATGAGAGAGATGGTTGGGTAAACATGACTTATCAGCACAACTAAGTGCTTTGTAGTTCTGAAAGAGAATTGGGAAGAGCTAGCTAGCTCTGTGAACAAATCTGGAGGGTTTCCAAGATGTAGTGTGTATGTGTGTGTGTGTGTGAGAGAGAGAGAGAGAGAGAGAGAGAGAGAGTACATGAATGTGTGTGCATGTATGTTAAGTGCATGTATGTAGAGGCCAAAGGGCAACCTCAGGTGTTGTTCCTTGGGTGTCATTCACCTTGCTTGTATGTTTGTTTGTGAGAGTATCCCAGTGGCTTTAAACTCATCAAGTAATCTAAGCTGGCTCGTTAGCATGTCCCAGGAAATCTGATCATCTTTGCCTCTTTAGTGCTGGGGTTACAAGTGTGCACCAACCGATGTGGTGGCATATAATTTTAGTCTCGGCATTCAAGAAAGACCTCTGTAAATTTGAAGCCAGCCTGGTTTACATTGAAAACTTCAGGACAACCAAGTTTGCTTCAAGCAAACAAAAACGAAGAACAAAAACAAACACCAAGTGTGCACTACTTCTGATGGTCTTTGATTCTTTGTCAACAGAAAAGCGAATTGTTGGCATGACCAACAAGAACTAGTCTTCGTATTGGTGTTTCACTCAGTGTCAGTGAAATTGACTTGCATCTTACCCTCTTTCCCAGCCTCTGTATCATCCACAGATGCAGATGGTGATGTATCATGAAATCATCAGACACTGTCAGGCAGAGAGGAACAGGAAACTGTGTGGGTATGCTGAGCAGCTGGCTAGCTTCCCAGCCCTGAGTGGCAGCAATGGATCTGTATTTTCAGTTGCATGAATGAAATTGTGGGTGCTTTCTCCACTTAACCAGCAGCTTTGGGCATGTTGATGATGTTGGTATGTCTCATTTCAGGAATGACCATACCCGAAGAAGATGCTGATGTAGGCCAAGGCAGTAAATATTGCCTTGTGGCAATCGGGAGGCTCCAGGTAAGTAAAAAGCCTGGCTTCTCCATCTTCAATGAGGGCTTCTTACTGCGCGGGACAAGAGACTGAGTCTGGATGCCTCTTCATTTGGAACTCCTGTGTGCTCAGTATTTGTGGGGTTGTGTGTCTCATTCTGGGTCAAGGATAAGGCTAAGCCTGAAGATAAAAAAGGGGGTACCAGGAGGGATACACCACAGAGGCCTTGCTATGCTGAGGGTCACCAGACCTCTCTCCCATCGACATGTTACTACAGACATGAGTCCTTCCTGAAGTCACATCCTTGCTAACCACCCTTTAAAGTCTCCCATGGGCCTTGTGGGATAACTTCCAAATTCATCATCCCATCCTCTTTTCCTTCCCTTCTTCCCATCTCACCACATCCTCTTACCAAACCACATTATTCCCTTCTCATGGCACCATCACATGGTTCCCTACCTCCATGGCCATTTTCAAGCTGTTTCTTCTATCTTGTGTTTCTTAGTTGCCATTCTTCTTTCAAATTTCCTTCTGTGTGCTTCCTATCTCCTCATCCCTTGAGGCCTAACTAAATGCCAGTCTCCTAAATTCACACTAAATGTTGCTTCCCATTGTGCTCTCTCATAACACTGAGCTCTCACCTCTATTTCATCTGCACGCCGTTTTCTGTGATTGGCTGAGGGTATGCTTGTGCCTAACACGGTCCTCTGGGACAGGAACCCTGTCCTGTTAAAAGTTAATTTGCTTGAGCCTGGAGAGATGGCTCAGTGTTAAGAGAATTGACTGTTCTTACAAAGGGCCTAGGTTCAATTCCCAGTTCCCACATGACAGTTCACAACTGTCTGCAACTCCAGTCCCAGTGGGAATTGATGCCTTCTTCTGGCCTCCTCAGGCACCAAGCATACAGGTATCACACAGACATACATGCAGACTAAACACTCATACACATTTGGTAAATACATAAACTTAAAATTTTAAATTTACTTGATACCTGATATACAGTAACCACTCGGTCAACTGATTCATTCCTTCTTTCATTGGCATTTAATGTATTTTCAAACTGATGAAGGGGGGCATAGTTGACATAATGTGGAAGGCTCATGTTTCACATCCTTGGTCTCCAAAGTCTGACCATTCTCAAATAAATGAATACGTAGTTCATTTGTATAAAACAAACACTGGATCTTTACTGGGGTGTAAAATAAGAATAGTTGGGTGAATTCAGTCCAGAAATACATACTTTTTGAGTCTCTACACCAATTGCAGAGAGGAAGATGAGAGGGAGAGAAAGTAGCAGCATTTACAGAACACCAGCCAGGTTAGCGGGCAGTACCACAATTATAAATTGTTGTAATTGTTCATTATTCACACTGACTCATAAGAGACAAATTCTCAGAAATGTAAAGAAAGTAGCCAAGCATTAATTAAACCCCCCACATTCATCTTTCCAGTGACACAGAACTTCTTGCCAGATCCTCACCTGCATCTTTATCAACTCCCCATTCCAGGTGACCAGCTCTCCTGTGTGCATGGACATGAGTGGCATGTCAGTGCCCACAGAGTTCCTGTCCCGGCATAACTCTGATGGGATCATCACATTTGTGGACCCAAGATGCATCAGTGTGATTGGCTACCAGCCCCAGGTCAGTGGCTAGCCCTGAGCTCCCAAAAGCTTGTGAAAGCTTTAACTTTCCCCCAAATGTGTTCATCTTACTTGTTTAAGGTGCAGCACAATGACATCTTGAAGAAATCATGTAGGAGTCTAGAATCCCTGTTTGTCTAGACTGACACCCTAAGATAACACTACTTTAAGTGGACTCATTGTCTTTTGCCCTAGCCTTTCTGTAGCTCTTGCTGAGTTTTTGCAAAGGGGGAGGAAGTTGAGATCAGTTTTTTTTTAATTACAAAGCTTGTCTGTGTCTGAGATCTGTGGAGATGCCCAAGGGATGTTGCTTAATCCTTGGGGGAAACCTTTCTACTTGGGGCATATTTTCAGGTCTTTGCTCCAGATCCTTCCTCAAAAATCAGTGGCATACGAAACACAGAGAGGCATGAGCCACCCAGGTGAATCCAAGGAACCACAGTGAAAAATCTAGCTGTGTCCTAAACCTAAGGATCTCTACCTAGAGGAGACACTTAGGGACAAGTGTGGGGAGTATGGAGATGCTAACAAATGAGTGTTGATTTCTTAGATGTGATCATGCTTTGGTTTTATAGTATGGCGACATTTATTATATTAACAATAAAAAGCCTTGTGGAGAAGTGTTATAGGATCTCCAATTTATTGTCAAGTGATCTAGTTAACACACATTCACCACACACGCACCTCCCATCTTCATTTGTGTGTGTACATCTATTGTAAGACCCTCAGAATGAGGAGTCTCCCAGTTTCAGTCGGTACCCCCAAGAACTCAATGTCTAATCCAGTTGCTGCAACACACAAGAGGCTTTAATGAACAGGAAACATTTGTACAAACGGCCCCTCCAGCACGCAGGCCAGAGAGAAGCACCATCCCCTGGGGCACAGGTGTTTTTAAAAGCAAAGCCACAAGCTTAGGGAAGGGGAGGGACCCTCTCTGACCAGTGAGTACCTGACCCTTTGAGGCTGGATGGTCTCACTATTAGGGTCAACAGACCTTAGGTCCTCAGGGTGTGCTAATTAATCTTGTCTGGGCAAACTGGAGGTACAGTTATCTCTTTGTTTCTTAAGGACCCTATTTACCACCTGCTGACTCACAAGAAAGGAGGGGCAGTGCGAATTCTTGGTGTCTTGTTATCTCAGGGCCTTGTGAGGAAAAGTTAGCAAATTCCAAGGAACAAATATTGGTCTGGGTTAGCTTTCCAGGTTAGTCTGTCCTTAATTTCAAGTGGGGGGGGTTCTTTAACTTTACCCTATGAAGAAAAAGAAAGAGAATATTGGTAACATATTGACAAGTAAACCTATGTAATAGCTATGCAAGTGTTTATTAAATATTCTTTTACCTTTTCTATAGAGTTTTTCTTAATAAAATCATTTAAAAAAAGAAGGGTCTCTTTATTCTAAGAAACAGACTTTGGGAAGCTTTGGGATGTGTTAAGTTAACATGAGTTATTTTAATTTCGGGTGTATTTTTCTTTTTATTTACTTAAAATTTTATCCATGCTGGAATCAACCCTGGTTGAGAACTAGGAACAGTGTCAATCAGAAACCTAGAGACTTTCTCTAATTCTGAAGCTAGATTCATGCAAAGTGTTACCTCTCAGAAAGAATAAGGTAAATGTGGATGACCCTGACAGTAGTGCATTTCCAGACAGACCCGTGCATTCCTCCTCAGCTTCCCTTCCCGTGAGTGTCTCTGTGCTCCTGGGGCATAGGAACTGCCCTTTGCTGCTGAGTCAGCTCGCTTCAAGCCTCATGTGCTGATGCAGATTCTCATCATTGAGTTAGCATACATCTTTTGCTGTTTAAGACACTTCCCTAGAGCACTCTCAAAATTGCCCTTTGATGGTTTTTAGTGTTCTGCTCCCATTCACTGAAAACACCAGAGTTATGGATGAAGACTGGATCTTTCAAATAACACATAGACTAGTGAAGGCCATCAATGAACTGGCTTGAGGCAAAGCCAGTTACTGTAGCCTCATTCTGCCACTACTTTTCATCCTTAAACAGTTTCAGTTTTCGTGGGCAACATGTCTGTCCTTAAGCTTACTTTGGATGTTTTTAGAAATATGTTGATTGCAGTTTGCCTCTCCAAGGCAAACAGGAATAAAGTTGTGTTGTAAAGCTGCTGATCGAGCGCCCAAGCAAAATTAGAAATCAGTGAGGAGTGAGCCAGCAGGATTTAGAATGGATGCAAGGATGCCAACTCCTCAGTAGACAGAAGCTGGGACATTTTATGTTTAAAGACTATGGTGGGCCGGCAAGAAGAGGTGGGCTGGAGGGGGGGGGTCGTGTAAGCAACACCTTTGTCTCCAGGGTGGGAGTAAGAAATGGAGAATGGACTTTGGGGTTACTAAAGCTGTCTGTCCCCTTTAGGACCTTCTGGGAAAGGATATTTTGGAATTCTGCCACCCTGAGGATCAGAGCCACCTACGGGAGAGCTTCCAGCAGGTATTGCCCAGGGCACTGCTGACGCTGATGCCTAGTGAGGTGCCTGGGAGAGATGTCAAGAGGGATGGAGGCCTGCTGTGAGCTACCAGGCTGAGAATGCCCTACTACAATGTCAGACAGCCATTCTGGGCAAGAGTTCGGCATGAGAGGAAGATACATGAAGAAGCTGTTGCTATGTGGCAGCAAAGGAGGAAGGAAAGGCTCTGAAGAGTCTCCCAAAGCACCAAGGCTAGAGAGGGTGACTTAGGAGGAGCCAGCTCCCAAGAGAGGGATCAGCTGATATGAACTGTAATGGGACAGTATGAAAGAAATGAGGGAGCATGCCATAGGAAGGGACCTATGCCAGACATCCTGGCGTAGCCTGCCTGGAGGATCCTTTGCAGCTCCTAGGGCTGTCAAGGAGGAAGTGGCCAGCAGTGAAACCAGCCAGGCCGGGTCTGAGGCTCCTGTGCCATGCTGTAGGGCCTCAGTTTTCTCCCATGTCACATACTGGTAAGTAGCAATTTCACTGAGTGTGTAAACAGAACAGAGCTTTGAAGGGCCACTTGGGAAGCCCAGACACACAAAATAAATGTAAATAAAGATGTCAGGAGACCTTCAAAATGGTCGATAGGTCCCAGAGCCTAAGTAGAGGATCATCCAGACAGGGACAGTGGGAGAGAGGCAGGCTGGCAGAATGGCCACCATAATAGTGGCACTCTGTGCATCGTTTCTACTTACTGAGCACACACTGTGTGACAGGAAGGACTGATGGTTTCTGGGGTGGCTGTGGGGATTAGGAGAGGCACACTGAAGCAAAGGGCCAAAGTACTACACCTCGATGAGTTAGAGCTAATTCAGAATGAGGCCTGTGGGCTCCTGAGCTGGCCTGAGAGGAGGGGAGAACTCGCTCCAGCAGGCTCTGACATACTCTGGAAAAGGGAGAAAATGGACACAAGGAAAGAGACTTTTGAGTCACTTTTCAAGAGGGAAGAGTCAGATGTCATCCATCTGGAGTATGGGCTTACTTTAGTAATTGCTTTGAAAGTATCTCGGGCATAGTCAGGGGAAGGCCTGTCCCTCTGCAGAGCTCCGGGCCTCTTCACACTCTTCTGCAGCTGTGAAGACAGGATCTGACATCAACCATAGAACTTCTTCCTCATAGCACAAGCACCAGATGGCCCCAGCCCACTTGTCCTCTAGCTTCATGCCCACCTCTTTCCAGGCAGCTATTCAGCTCTCCACCTGAGGACCCAGGATCCTCCAAACTCAGCACGCTGCCTCTTCTCTTAGCGGCCTTTCCCTCACATCACTCCCAGCCAGTTGCTCAGGATAAAGCTCAGCATCCCTTAGGCACAGACCACATGACAGGCCCTTTTGGAACACCTTTCCAGGGCACCATGATGTCACCCTGCTTTCTTCTGTCATCCATGCCCCTATCTGATGGTTGTGTGTGTTCCCTTGCTGTGTCTCTGCCTCTGTTATCATTTCATTCCAAGCCATTGTAAAAACAAAACAAAACAAAAAAACAACAAACAAACAAACAAACAAAAAAAAACCAAACTGGGTTTAGTCACATTTTTCATTAGAACTTACCAACCATGGTCCATGTATGTAGAGTTAAATATGCATTTCTTCCCATAGCTTCAGGATCCATGTAAGCCATGTAAGCCTGGTCCTATTCCATGCTCCTTCTGACAAGATTCTTCAATCTTACTGGCTTTTCTTGCCTTCTTGAATATTCTCTTTCCCATCTTCTGAGCATTACTGAGCCACCCCCTGACTGGAATACTATTCTCTATTCTTCACAGGACTGACACCTTTCAACTCACATCATCCATTAGATCTTACTAGTGACTAAGAAAGAGGTCCAAATATCCTCTGCCCCTTTTTTCTCCTTTACCATGTGTCGTTTCCTTTGTCCACTCCCTCTTTTTTTACCTCTTTCACTGCAACCTGGCTTTACTGTGGACAGACCCCATGTCTGTTCTTATGGGCATCATCTCCATGAGGGTAGATTTGAACCAAGCTGCGTAAGCAGATCAGAATTTACAGCAAGTGGCTCCCTCCCATTTGGGGAAAATGTGAAACCAGAATGGTGAGACTCTTACCAGGATGCTTTGTGCCATATTTGCTACATGTGTGGAAGTGAGGGTAACTTTGCCCAGCCAGCTTCAGGCTCTGTTGGTTTCATCTTTCTGGATGTATGGATGTGGATATCTCATGGTGATGGGCCTGTCATGCTGTTTCTGGGAACTACACAGATCCTTCTTCATGTGTTTTCCCATAGATCCCCAACTGTACTCCATGAATACTGACATCATGTTTTTCCAAGTAGACAGTGGGACTGAGTGTCATCTACCTCCACTGCCATCATGATGAAGTATGCCTAAACAAAAAGAATGAGTGTGAAGGAGGAGCCTGTTCTAAGTTTCTCTCTTCTGTTTGACCTCTTGGCAAACTGACTGAAAAGGGGATTCTGGGAGCGGATACACTTTCCTGGCCCCTGGGAAGGTACACTGACACCACACTAAACTCAGACCTTGTGTGTGTTCCATGGGCTTCCTGTCTGGGCAGCTCAGTGCTTTTGTTTAAAACCAAAGTTCAAGGGCTGACTCAGCTTTCTCAAGAACAAACCACTTCCCTTTATCAACATCGGTCCTCCTTCATTGTTGGTGGCCAGTGCCCAAAGAACACAAACTCAGGCCAAGTCTGGGTGTGCCTTGGGATGTCTTTATGGCTATACAGTTGCTGCCCATGTGTCCTGGGCCTAAGCCAGGACTTCCCCCTCTGATGCCACAGCCTTAGTTTCCCTTTCACTAACAGATGAGGGAGATGGTCTCAACACAAGTTATTGAAGTTGCCTACCAGGGTAAGATGAGATGTTCAACTCCTTTTTCTTTTCAAACCTGCTAAGTTCTTGTAGTTTACATAGTCAAATGTGACACAGAATAGAGTGGAGCCCAGGTGAGATGTGAGTGGATCTCTGGAGACACTGATCTTGCTGGTACGAGCCAAGGCAGGATGGATGGATGGCAGGTGATGGTGATAATGATGATGGTTTATGGTCATCACTGATGTTGATGATTAATGGTAGTGATGATGTTGATGGTCGTGCCAGTAATGGCTTTGACTGCGACAATTATAAAATGATTATGGTGGTAATTGTGATAATGATGGCGATGGCAGTAGTTGTGATGAAAATGGTGGTAGTAGTAATTGTGGTGGTGATGATGGTGATGATAGTGATTGTGACAGTGGCTGTGATGTTGATGGTAATTAGTGTAATGGTATTGACAATGATGGTGATGGTAATAGTAATGATTGTAAGGGTGATGATTGTAATAGTGATGGTGGTGAGGGTGATGATGGTGATAATAATGGTATTTTTAATAAGAATGGCCCCCATAGGTTCATGTATTTGAATGCTTGGTCATTGGGGAGTTGTGCTACTTGACATGGATTATGAGGTGTGGTCTTGTTGGAGTACGCATGGCCTATTGGAGGAAGTATGTCTCTGGGGAAGTGGCCTTTGGGGTTTCAAATGATCAAGCCAGGCCTGCTACCTGATGCCTATGGATCCAAAGGTAGAACTCTCAGCTACTCTCCAGCACCATATCTGCCTGCTTGCTGCCATGCTTCATGCTAAGATGATAATGAACTAATCCTCTTAATTGTATGCTGGCCCCAATTATAAGAGTTGCTGTGGTTAGGGTATCTCTTTCCCACAACACAACATTTACTGAGACAATAATGACATTGAAGATTAAGGTGATGGTAATGGTTGTAAAGGTGATGATGGCAGTGACAATGATTATGATGAGGATACCCATGAAAGCTGTTTCTATGAAGACCCAAACTAAGCTAGTTTTATTATCTTTGCAGTCTCTTATGTTACTAGCCCCACACTTAAGACTTGGATCATATTGACACCCTGCTTACAGTCATAGTTCAATCCCCCATCACTTCTCAGCTTTCTTGCCTATACATGATTTTCATGCTATGCTTTCTGCAAGGAGAGCCAACAATCTCATTTGCCAGCATCACGCCTACCCTCCAACTCTTTCACAAACATCATTTCCCTTCTGGAACCCTTCATTCAGGTCAGTACCTCAACAATAGGTCCCAACTCTTAGCCCTCCTAGTGACCCCCTGCCAGTTTGATTGTGAGCTTGTAGCAGATTCTGTGGGTTATGGTTATCTACACATCTCTCCAGACCCTGCTGGGTGACAGGTACTTTGGAATAGAACATTCACTGTGGCAATGGGGACTCTAGACAGTGGGTTAGGGTTGGTAAAGCAAGGATTCAGGCCATGCTTTTCCCTGCCTGTGGTTACAAAGCCTCAGCAGGTGTCTGTCAGCTCTGAAGTTCATATTCCTAATACACATTATACTTCTGTGAGGATTTGTGGACTGAAGGTCAGGACTGGCAGCCTCCAACCTCTCTTCTCTAGCCTCAACCCCTAGCCCAGCTTTGTACATAAGTAGGATCTGCTACTGGTCTATGAGGCACCATGAAAAATTTTCACACCACTTCAGTTCTTTCCATTGGAGGGAAGAGAAAGCACACCCCTCCACTCACTCAGGACAGAGGTGAGAAGGCTGTATGTGCTGTAGGCACCAAGGGAGTCCTTAGCCTGCTGACCTGAGAGGATGTGTCTTTGACCTCTGGCTCCTGTGAAGGAAGAGGCAGGTCTTTGTTAGGAGGCTGTGATGGCTTGAGTAAGAGTGGCTCCCACAGGCTCATATGTTGGAATGTTTAGTCATCCAGGAGTGGTACTATTTGAGAAGGATTAGGAGGTGCAGCTTTGTTGGAAATATGTCACTAGGTGTCTTTGTTAGGGTTTCTATTTCTGTGAAGAGACACTATGACCAAGGCAACTCTTATAAAGGAAAAACCTTTAACTGGAGTGGCTTATATTTTCAGAGGTTTAGACTATTGTCATCTTGGTGTGACATGGTGGCATGCAGGCAGACATATGCTAGAGAAGTACCTGAGAGTAGTACATCTTGACTTGCAGGCAACAGGAAGTAGTCTGCCTTACTGGGTGTAGACTGAGCATGGGAAACCCCAAAGCCCACCCTCACAGTGACACACTTCCTCTAACAAGGCCATACCTACTCCATAAAGGTCACACCTCCTGCTAATGTCACTCCCTTTGGGTACCATTTTCTTTCAAACCACCACACTGGGGGTGGGCTTTGAGGTTTAAAAAGCCTCCCTCCCTTTCTTTCCCCACCCTTCTGTCTGCTTGTGGATCAGGATGTAACTCTCAGCTACTTTGCCAGCACCATTTTCTGTCTGCTGCCATGCTCTCTGCCATGATGATAATGCATTAAGCCTCTGAAACTGTAAGCAAGTTTATTACATGTGCCTTTCAAAGTCCCACGGTGTCTCGTCACAACGGTGGGACAGTGACTAGACATGGGCCGCCAGCTATGAGGCAGCATCCTCTAAGCAGGCCAGCTTTACCTCACCCCCAGTGGTGACAAAGAAGACCTCTATCTCTTTCACTTTTCTATCTGGCGTTTTGATCATTCATATATTTCTGAAGAGGGTCTTGTCTGATGCTCTGCAGTGTGTCTGTACCTGGTTTTCTCCAGGGACAGCATGGGAGAAGTCACCTAGCTGCTTCTGCTCCAGTGTGGGATGACCAGGGCCATGAAGCCAGCTTGTGCGGTGTGCTGTAGGTACCACTCTGTGCCAAACACTGGGCTGGGCTGTGTGAGCCTCAATTCACCGTGTCCCTAGGCTGTGTACAGTATGGTAGAAACTGCAGACTCCCAGTGGGAAGCAGGATGCAAATGCAGTAATAATAGGGGGAGTCTGACTTTGCCAGGCTCTAGAATCTGGCCCTGCTCCTGAGATCACACCCAGGAAGACTGAAAACTTCCATTCCCAGGTTGTGAGGCTGTGCATCCCGACAAAAAGGACTTCTGCTTGCCTTGTTTTGTCCTTGAGGACAGTCATATCCAGGCGAGGTCTGTTAGTCATTCCTGTACCTTCTCTGTCTCCCACTTCTTTCTCTTTGTGAGACCAACACCTGGTCTCAGCTTCCAGCTGCCAGTGGGCAGACGCCTTTGCATACCTTTGTATTGTGTGAGTGAATAGAGAAAAAAAGCAAGCTGTCCCCTAGGAGATAAACTTGTAATTTGGACATATGACCATAGTTTCTGTCACCTCTTTACCACCAGAGCTGTCTTGGAGACCTTAATTAGTTTCTGTGCATCCTGGTATTGTATTTAAATAGTGAAGCCACCTTTCTAGACCTTTGCTGGGCTACACTACAGGGTGTCCATGGAAGTACATTGGAAACCATACTGCAACATGAAAGTAGTGGCAGATCAATACATGCACATAAATAATGCATACAGATTTACCATTTTATTTCACCTCCTTCCTGAGAGTTTATTTGATTCATTTTACAATGTCAAACAGAGGTTAAAATCTTATGTAAATTAAGTCCATCTAAAAAATGAGCCCATGATGCATTGTAGCTGCATACCTCCATGAGACAGTTACTCCAAAGAGTACTAGCACCCAGCCCTAGTGATACCCAAGGCAAAAAGAGGAAAGAAAAGGAAGAAGAAATACAACTCTTATGGTGTGCTCACCATCTGATTTGTATCCACTAAATTAGAAGCATTGACTGTTTCTGGTCTCTCACAAGAGATGTCAGGATAACCCAAGGGCAGTGCCCTCCCTGTTTCAAAGGGAAGCACATGGAAGTAAGTGAGAGCTTAGCTTTTGCCTGTCACTCTTACTCTCATAGCCCCCTTACTGTGGTTGGCGGGAGCAGCAGCCCATTCTGAGGTCCTGCTGGCCCTCTCAGCAGCCGGCCACACTGCCTAGCCGTTCCCTCTTCCTCCTCCTGCTGACTTCCTTGTCCAAATGTTTTTGCAGGTGGTTAAACTGAAGGGCCAAGTGCTATCGGTCATGTATCGGTTCCGCACCAAGAACCGGGAGTGGCTGTTGATCCGAACCAGCAGCTTCACCTTCCAGAACCCCTATTCCGATGAGATCGAGTACGTCATCTGCACCAACACCAACGTCAAGTACGTGTACTGCCCCCTTTTCTGCTGGTCATTCACATGAGCTGTATCCTGAACCGCTTTGCTTGAGGCTCCCTTGTCCCCATGAGCTCCAGCTGCAGCCCGAAACCCCTACAGGGTGAAGGAGGAAGAAAAAGGGAGACTCTGGGTTCCTGTTACTGTGGGTTACATGCATCCCTTCCAGGTTCAGGTCAGTGTACTGCAGTCTCCATTCCATTCTTTTCCTCCTGACACCAAGCCATGCAGAGAAGAAGGTCCCAGTGCCCACCTCTCTGCATCCTTTGTGCTAGCCACTCCTGGTCCTGCTGAAGCTGGTGGGTGGAAGAAAGAGACTGGGCTTCTTGAAGCTCTGGCCAAGGCAAACAGCCTATTGTAGCATCTAGCACCCAAGCCTGGAAGTACCCTCTCTTCTTCCAGCCCAGGACCCCTACTTTTGTTCACACTCCATATCCATGGAGTTGGCAGATAGGCCTAAGTTCTCCCTTGGCCCTGATGATTCCTGGCTGTGTGATCTCATGTAAGTCACTTCCTCTCTTACCCATGCCTTCCTTTTCTGTCACATGGAGTGATAGCCCATAGCCCTCATTTGTGTGTGTGTGGGCATGGGCATGTGTTTGGAAGCCAGAGGCTGACATCTGAGGTCTTCTTCAGGTGCTCTCCCTTATCTTTTGAGATGGAGTCTTCCACTGAACTTGGAGCTCACAGGTTTGGACAGGCTTGGACCCAGCTTCCCAGTGCTGGGATGACATGAGCACTGCTGAGCTGTGAGACAGACTTGTGAACACAGTGCCTTCTATAAGCTATGGAGAGCATGACTGTGGGGAGGCCTTGCCTCTTCACATCAAATGTGGAGGGAATACAGGTGAAGTCTGATTTCAGATGCTTCCATTTACACAATTTTTGAGACTCTTTTTTTTTTTTTTTTTTTTTTTTTTTTTTTTTTTGAGGCAGGGTCTTACTTTGTAGCACTGGCTGGCTAACCTAGAACCAACTAAATAGAGAAAGTTGGCCGGGAAGTCTCAGCAGTCTACCTGCTCCTCCATTTCCTGTAACTGGACTTTACTGTGTTATGAAAGTGATGCACATTTAATGGAAGCCATGCTTTGGACTTGAATCTGCTCCTTCCCTCTGATAGTAGTGTGCTAGAAGAAGCTCACCAGATGCTAAGTCGTGGCAGTGAGTGGCAGCTCTACTTAGCCACACATCTGTGAAAGAAAGCAACCGTCGCTCTACATGTGTCGCTAAGCTTGATGCCTTGAGTTGGGGACACTGGTGCTATTTTCAGTTTGCAATACCACACGGTTATGCTAGCTAGGTTCATCAGGTGTAACCCTGGTGTGACCTAGGGGACATATGTACCCAGCAAGGAACATACATGTACAAACATGTGAACACAAAGGTGTCCCAGTGAGTCAAAACACATGGAAGCCATGTCTAGAATGAAAAGGATGTGGAGAGAGACAGACATACTGCTCCATTTCCCATTTCAGTCAGGGCTGGTCCTGAGCCCGTGGCCTTCTTGTCCCCATCTCCTGACTCCAGGGCATCCTTCTAAGGACCTACCCTGCCTCTCCATCAGAGCAGTTTTTGGTCCCACCAGGCCTTGCTGAGCCACTGCTCCATTCAGTTTGTCCCAGCCCCTTGCAGCTTGGCTCTCACACTAGCCCTACAGCTGCCAGCGTGCCATCTGGAGCACACAACTCTTGCTCCCAGGTACTTTTTCCTCAGCTTCAGCTGTCTTCTGGACCCGCTCTCACTCTAGACATCTTCTCCCTTTGTGTAGTTGCTACAACTGTATTCTTCTTCTACCCCATCTGCTGGGCAAACCTGTAAATGGAGCAGAAGAAATATGAGACACCATAGATCCAGATGGGCAAAAAGATGATCTGACCTCAATTTTCTATGTCTTCTTCTATGCCTTCTATGCTTTTTGGTCAAATTGAGGGTGTTCCATTTCTCCCCATCAATGCCACAATGTGGAGGAGGATGTTCTTTGCCAAGAGACCAGTGAGACACCCTTGAGTGCCACATCCATATCTGGTCCCAGGTCTGATGAAAATAAGGAAGGTTGAGAAATGGCAGTAGAGCCAAAGCACAGGGCCAGGGAAGCCCTGGCTGCTGCTATGTTCAAGGTCTAAAGGGCTAGGAGTGGTCTTCTCAGTGCTCACAATCTAGGGTTGCCAGGCCCTTGGCAGGAGAGAGATAAGAAAGACAGTGCCAGCCCTGACCTGCTTAGCACCTGTGCAAGCCAGATCTCTACCATTAGGCTTGTCTCTCCCAGTATGGCTCCACACCTGCCAATTCAGGCTGCCTAGCCAAGTAGTCATAGAAAGACAAAAACACCAACTACTCAGAGTCCTGAACGCTGTTCTAGAATCTTCCTTTGGATGCCAACAGGTTGGCTGGTTGTTAAGGAAAGCCACCTCCTCTCTGGATTCTGCCTCCTTCTCTGCCCCCATCCCTCTTTGTTCCTTCACAACACATTACATAGGCCTATGCATAGCAGGAGCCCCGAGGCTGCCTACTCCCTGTGGGTAAGGCTGCTTTCTGGGCTTTGAGGGTGTCATCTGTGCTACACCATCAACCCTAAATCCTCCCTGTCCATAAAGCTGCTTCTCTCACACACATCAGAGCCTCCCTGTCTACAGTAACAATGCTGAGTCTTGGCTGGGCACCCAGCAGCTTTCTAGATTTGGGTGAAAGAGCAGACTGATGGTCCTTGTTGGGGGAGTTTTTCATCATCATTCTCTTCCAGTCTTTGTAAACCTTCTACTGTCAAGAGTCACACGTTTGGTCACAACTAATGAAGCTGATACTCCCTGATCACCCTGACCGGACATGGCCTGTGCCAGTCAAGAAGCCTGCATTACCATTCTTGTTCTTAAGGGGAAACCTGGTCCCTAGAGGTATAAGGCTTGGGCTTCAAAACCATGAGAACATGGGTAGGGAGGGACAGGAGATAGGGAACAGTGGACAATACAGAGAACAAACCAGTCCCCCAGGAGGCAGCCCTGACCTGAAGCCTGGAAGCAAAGTCACTCTCCACTGCAAGCCAACCCCAGCTGAGAGGGTTGACCTTCCTTTCTGAAAGTCAAGCAGTGTTGACAAGACAGAAAAGCCTTTTGTTCAGGGGTGGGCCATCCTGCTGACCCAGGCCAGTCATTCTCAGCAGCTCCCGGAGGTTGTATAGCTCCCTGAGATACCTGCAGCAGCCAGATGTTCAGTGGCAAGGCTGAAAAGCTCACTTAGGACAGTAGAGGGCAGTGCTGGCCACACATGGGAGCAAAAGACCTTTCATGACGTTGTGAGGTCAGCTTTGCCAGCAGAAGGGGCAGCTAGTTAGGAAAGATCCTCCAATGCCCTGTGCTTGCTTGGCTGGAGGGGGGAGCAGGGAGAGTTGCTTGCTCAGTAGCCTTCAGCTGAGAGCATCCAAAAGCAACTTCCTGAAGAAGTGAAGAAAACATTGCATGTTTAGCATTTGTGCTAAGCTACTGAAAAGGCTCTTTGTCACCCCTGACTTCTCCCTGTTCCTTCCACACAGATGGAAGCCCAGAAAAACACACTGATGCAACACACCGAGTGCACATCTCTGAGCTGTGCCAAGTCTTGGTGTTAGGGAGCTGATTCTTTGAGAGGCCAGTCCTGGGCTGACTAGGTACCATTCATGCTCATCTTGCCACATTTGCTCAGCCCCACTCCTGGACTTTCCCCTCTTCAGGGGACTGGCATGAAATTCTATTTGTGCCAAGCCTCTGTTATTAAAATAGCATTAGTCTGAGGTTGTCTCAGGTTTTCATGACACAAGTTCCTGGTGTGTGTGTACACGCACATGTACATATGTGCACCCATGTGTGTGTATGCATGGGTGCAGATGTATGTATCCTGTGTGAGTACAAACATGAGCTATTAAAGTCCCATCATGCCCAACGTCCAGCTGGCCAATGGTCATAATTCTCCATGATAGTTAGCAGTGGTTACCTGCTTGGTAATAGGTAGAAATTGTGGAGAAGGAGTGGATGCAGAATGAGGCAGAAGATTGTATGCAATGTCTGCAGAATTTAGAGTACAAACTGTAGCTCCAGAGCCTAAGGAGCATGCCTAGGAGTCAGCCTTGAGTGAATCCTGAAAGCAAAAACACCATCCTCGTCTGTCTTCCTAGCTGGAGCTGTCTTTCTTCAAACTGGGCAACAACTTCCAGCCAACGAGGGGCTGAGACTCTTCCAGTCCCAGGCTGCAAACCCAGGGATCATCTTGGTCCCTGCCTCTCCTTCCCCTCGGAGGAGAACATGAGAACTAGAGCTTCATGTACTGCCCAGGACCCTAGCACACTTCCTCCTCTGCCCTGGTAGAGGCCTTGGTGACCTCTCAGATGGACCCACAAGGCCAAGGGGTGATTTCTCTGAACAGATAGAAAAAGGGTCATGCCATTCCCTACCCTGTACAAGTCAATGTCAGGTGTCCAGAGTCCCCTAGGAGCCCTGGAATGCAGTGAGTGTTTATTCTGGGCTAGGCAGAGGGAAAAGCACAAGGTCCACAGCCCTGCAGAATTGAATATGAGTCCCTTCTGTGCCACATTCTACTGGGAACACTACTTAAGCTTGCTGAGCCTCATCTCCTTTATCTGATAACTGATAGTATTGTATTGTAAAGATAAAAAATTTTGGTCAAGTACTGGTGATCTGTTTTCAGTTCAGATATTAGCAGCCTGCCAGTGAGCCATCATGCTTCCCCAAGATTCAGGGAACAGGAAACAAAGCAGATAACAGAGTAAGAACACGGAAGGACAGTAATGCTTCTTTTATAGTTATGATTATATTGATTCTTTTAAAAATACTTAAGAAAGGGTCTCATGTTGCCTGGGCTGGCCTTGAATATAACCTTGAACTACCTATTCTCCTGCCTCTGTGTCCCTAGTGCTGGATTGCACGCATGAGTCACTGTGAATACTTTTATGTGGTACTGGGAATTAAACCCACGGTTTCATGCATGCTAGGCAAGAGCTCTACCAACTCCATTACATCCTAACACTCTTTTTAAACTTTTTGAAATCTCAATTTGTTTTGACAATTATTTTTGGTGTTCTGCTTTGCTGATGTGACAGGCGTGTGCTAACACTGCCTGGTGGGACTTCACATGCTTCTCATTCCATCCTTGCCTTTGTTCCTGGGCTCTTGTACTACAGTGAGAAATCCTTCACTCCCTCAGGACTGCAGTCTTCTCATCTGCCCTCCCCATCTCCACCAGAGTGGAGGTTCTGATTCATCACAACTGGACTTGGGTATGATGGTTTTCTTTGCCTCAGCATAGTACACTGAACGGACTTCTGAGTTTGATTCCAAAGCAGATGCTCAGAGGGCCCCCAACAGAGCCCATTCACTGTGGTATCTAGACCTGGGTACCGTACATTCTACCTCGTTTGTAGTTCTGGGCTTCACTGTTCCCTGAAAGCAGTCCAATCTTCCTACTTTAAAACTGGAAGCATCTCCCTACTTTAAAATTTGAAGGTGCTGGGCATTTCCCAGCACCCCAGCCGGACAGCCTGATATAGTAGGAGGAGTCTGGTAGAGAGGGAGGAACCTGACAGAGTATGAAGAGTCAAAGATCTTGGAATCAACTCTTCAGTCAGAACCTGCTGTGCTGTAGTTGAACATCTCTGATCTAACCCTAGTCTTCAGGTCCAGCTTCTTGACTTTAGCACCATGAAAATCCAGTATGAGCTATGAGTAAGATGTACACTCCAATGGCAGCTGTGCACACTACAACCAGCAACTTTGCTAAGGGCTAAACCAACTGCTTTCCTGAATTTTGCTTTTAAAACAATTTCATTAATGTATTTTTATTTTTACCCTGCATAAAACAAAAGCCATTCGAAGAAGCTCATTGTTTGAGCCAGGCATGGTGACACCTGTCTGTCCTTCTAGAGGTGGAGAGGCTGAATCAGGAGGATCAAGAAGAGTTCCAGTCCAGGGTGCTTAGCAAGACCCTGTCTCAGAAATAAAATTTGAAGGCTAAGGGGATGGCTCAGTGGATAAAGGACAGTACAAACATGAGAACCTGAGTTTGGATCCCCAGCATCCATGTAAACAACTTATCATAATGGGAGCTACTGGGGCGGGTACAAGTAGATGGTCGGAGCTCATTGACAAGCCAGTCTAGCCAATTGGTAGCCACTGGGTTCAGTGAAGGACCCTGCCTCAAAGGGTAAAGTGGAACATGACTGAGGAGGACTCCTGATGCCTCTGGTTTCTACATGCAAATGCACACACCCACAGACACCACACACACACACACACACACACACACACACTTTACCTTACCCTTTCTACTGCTCGTGTAGAAATCTAAACCTGAAATACAGGGATTGGAGTAAAATAAAAGTGGAAAGTCTTCTGGCGATCTGTTGATAACTTTGAGGAGTGCAATTTCTGCCTTATCCCCATTACCCTTCACCTTTCCGTTCCTCACACTGTGTTGAATTATTGTTTCACAGGCAGCTTCAGCAACAGCAGGCAGAACTGGAGGTCCACCAGCGAGATGGGCTGTCATCCTATGACTTATCTCAGGTGAATTTCTGGAAAACTCTTCTGTTTGGCACTAAGAGGACTGAAAACTAAACTCACCCCAGAATCCCCACTCTAAATTAAACTAAAACTAAAACTAAACTCACTCCCCACATCCTAAGACACTCTGTTCCATCCAGCCTCAGGGGTACTGATAGTATTCAGTCCCTGGTGCCCTCTGTGGCTCTTCCTTCCTGTAGTAAGCCACATGGAGCAGAAAGTAGGTAGAGAGCAGGTGATGAGCTGTGGTCAACTCACACTGCATATCTCTTGGGGACAGAGGGAAACCCCCGTGTGGGCCTCAGTCTCACAGGTGCAGCCAGCAAATGCAGGCTCTGGATTTGGGTTCTCTGGTTCCTAGCCATCCCTCTGGCCTTTGTGCTCCCATGCTTGTTTTGCTTTAACATTTCTCTTCCTATCATATCCTGTGTCTCTCCTTTCCTTCTCTCATCTCCTCTGGTCCCTTGTCTCTCCTCCTATCTCTGTTCCTGCTTCTGACAGCTGGCCATCAGTATCTGACTTCATTCCCATATTAACCTTTAGGCTCTCTTCCTGATGTTTATAGTAGGTTGGTTCTTTTACATTAATCTCTAAGAAAATAGTCATTGTGACTCTGGTATTCTTCCTGTAACCCCTAGTTCACACCTCCCAACCCAGGTACCCTTGATCTTCATGGGTAAGTTCCCAACCTTGCAAGAATAATCAAGTCTTGAAACACTAGCACCTCCTCCGAGAGGGACTATTGGAGGGACATGTGACTCTTTAAAAGAGTGCCTTATGTGTGGATTGCCATTGTGTTTTATGTGCCAACAGGTCCCTGTTCCCAACCTACCAGCCAGTGTTCACGAGGCAGGGAAGTCTGTGGAAAAGGCAGATGCAATCTTCTCCCAAGAGAGAGACCCCCGTTTTGCTGAGATGTTTGCAGGCATCAGTGCATGTAAGTGGAAGACGGTGCTAAGCCGTGAGGCTGTGGGTTGCAGTTGCTTTCAGACCATCTGGGGATAGCCACCCTAGAGATAAGGGCAGGAAACATGACTTTTGTATAACTGCTCCAGGACATAAGAACCTAGTACAGGAGTCAGGACAGATTCTCTGTATTCCTGCCCTTGCCTCTTACTTCCTCATCACCTGTGACACTCAACCTCCAGCTGTGGCATCCATCTTTACAATGTAAAGGGTCAGAGCAATGAAGTCTAATCTACTAGGTAATGCCTTAGTCACTGGTCAGACTTCACCACTATAACAAAATACCTAAGAAAAAAGAGGGAAAGAGGGTTGTTTTGACTCTCAATTGGAGAGGAAACTTAGAATAATCACAGAAATTTCAGAAGAAATATGAAATAAGATGGCAAGAAAACATCAGTATGTAGAATGATAAGTCAAGATAATATTCAAGGACTACAGATCAGTAAGCCCCAATTAACATGCTGTCAAAATTCAACATAATCAAAAACAATGAGATGAACTAGTGAGCCCTCAGGGGCAAGTGATGAAGATGCTTTCGAACCCAAGCAGAGTGGCAATGTCACCAGAGAAAGACTTCAGAATGTCCCTGTGGGCAGAGGACATAGAGCCTCAACTACCTATAAATCTCATGAACATTTTAAAAAAGCCAAAAAAAAAATCACAAACACAGGAAGAAACTGATAAAAAGAAGAAAACAGTAAGTAGAACTCAGAATGCCTTTCCTCCTTTTTAAAAAATCAAGTAGATGAAAATAATAAAACAGGGAAAGATTTAGAAGACTAGATTTTATATTTATATATGTATACATATATATACATATATATGTACATGTATTATTGTGTGTCCATATACATATATGTATATAAACATACATAGGTACATGTATAAGTGTTGTACCCTACCAAAGTCCCGAGACATTCATAGAAGAACAATATGTAACTTACCACCAAAATACATGAGAAAAAACGTAACTTGTTTTTGTAGTGCTGGTTGACCTGTCTGCCTGCCTGTCACTTGTTTTGTGTGGTGCTGAGAATGGAAGAGCTAAGCTCGAGCTCTAACACTCAAGCTACACCTCCAGACTTGGTGAATTGTTTATAAACAAGATGGCTGTCTGAGTCTTCTTTACACTGTACGTTTTAGCCTTGTCTCCTCCCCACTCAAGTCTTGCTCTTCATGCCCCACCCTCAAGGCCTTCTGATGCGACCTCAGACTGAGCTCCTGCCCCTTAAGGATGGATGCCCATAGCTGCACTATGTCAGTGGCTTTATTTAGAGCCCCACACAGAGATAGGAGTAGGATATTTGGTTCCTGTGTGGTCTTCCAGCCCCAGATTACAACCCATACTGCTCACACCCACCTGGCAAGCTGGCTCAGGGAAGGTGTACATGCTGCATCATCGCTGCCATGCATCCAGCCTTGATTTCCACCCTTCCAGTGTCTTGGGAGTGGTTGCATAATTGAGACTTGTAGGGATCATGACACTCTAGGACAGTGGTTCTCAACCTTCCTAATGCTGTGACCCTTTGATACAGTTCCTCATGTTGTGATGACCCCCAACCATAAAATTATTTTGTTACTGTTTTGTTAACTGTGATTTTGCTACTGTTGTAAATCATAATATAAATATCTGTTATGCAGGAATCAGATATTTAATGTAATGTAATATACATATCTTCTATGCAACCCCATGAGGGTTGAGAACCAATGCTCTAGGGCCACAAGTGATACATCATGGAGCCATGGGAGGGCTGTGTTCTGGTGGACACTGCTGTCTAGAGGCTGCATCCATCCACAGTCCACCACCAAGAACTCCTTCCTTATTATGTGAGATCTAGACAGCCTGGTTGTGACTTGAGCCCAATCCTCTCAGCCTTTCTCGGCAGGTAACCTGCTTGGGCACTCTTCTCAACTTTCTGTGGCAGAACAGTGGCCTTGGTGACTCATCCTTGCCTGGGTCTGAGTGTTCCCTGTCTTATGAGGTGCTCAGTCTGAGACCCTGGTGGAGAGACAGAGAACCTCGTCCAACTGTCCTGGACACTCAGTCTGAGGTGCCCCTCAGCACTTGCTGATCAGGTTGGGGAAGGGCCACTAGACTGGAATTCAAGTGGGGTCCTCTGTTGGTGTCCTATGACCTGGAACAAACAGTGCCTTGGTTTTTTTTCATTGGTAAAACTGAAAGCAAATGTGTAAGCTATGTGTTCTTTTCCCAGCACTGTCCTCAGTAAACATTTTACTCATACTAACACACAGAATCCCCACCACAGCCCTGTGAAGGACACTGCAGTCGTCTTCCTCTTTCAGGTGGAGAAACTGAGGCGGGGAGAATTCAAAAAGCATTCCAGGTGACAGCTGTAATACAAAAGGCAGAGTGAGGTCCCAGTCAGGTAGCTGAAGTTACCCAGGGTGTCCTCACCTCTTTGCATGTCGTTTCCTATTGGGTACTCCTCTATGAAACTGGAAGGATTAAATACAGTAGTGCCTTCCCCACTCTCAAGGGCTTGCCTTCAAGTGGCTGAGCCACCCAAGAGTCAGAAGAGGCCACGTAAGGGGAAATGCAAAGGTGAAGGTGAGGAGGCTATCCTTTGTAGACCTCCTGAGTTCCCATGCCATGCCCTGTTCTGGGGTGCCCCTGCATGGCCTGCAGGCCACGGATGGGGGGACCTTCACATGCAGCTCCTATGGTTTTCCTAGCGGAAAAGAAGATGATGAGCTCAGCATCAGCATCAGGCAGCCAGCAGATCTACTCCCAAGGAAGTCCATTCCCTGCTGGGCACTCGGGCAAGGCCTTCAGGTAGGTCCCAGGGGAATGGTGGGAAGAAAAGCCTGAGTTTCAGCCTTGGCTCTGCAAGCTGAACAGGAACCAACCATTCCTGTGCTATGGGATGGAGCCAGCATGGGGCGGCAGGACAGCTGGCTCTGCTTCAGCCCCTCCATAGGCACTGAGTGTCAGTGACTCTCAGACACCAAAGATACCACCAGTCTCTCTAAAATCCTGAAGGGGGAAAAAGAAGGGATGGTCTATAGCCAAGATCCAGGTAGGGCCTGTTGAGAAAGTAGCCAGAACTGCCTTTTTTCTCTGGTTTGCTGATGCCATAGCCAAGTACAAGGAGAAAATATGGCCTGTCCCATCTGAGCCTCAGCCTCAAGGGCCATTCAAGGCATGGAGCCAAGTGGGGTGCTTGGCTGTTAGCATCAGGGCATGCGATAGCTAACTGAGGAAGCTTGACATCACTACCGAGGGCCAGGCCTGCCTCAAGTTTCTTCTAGGAAAGCATAACCCAGGAGCACTGCCAAAGGACCGGCCAGCAATCCTCAGGAAAGGCATCCTCCTGTCACACCAGCTACTTCTAAGCTCCCTAGAAGCCTCGCAAACCCCTGACCCAGCAAGTTGGTGTTTTTCCTATATCCCTGTTGAGCTTGGCCCAACTCTGAGCAGGGCTTCAGGGACCCTGCAGGCAAATCTAGTGCCCAGAAACTACATTGGCCACAACAGGATAGGAATCTCCCTTCCTTGCTGTTCTAAGAACAGACTTCCTACATCAGCAACAGGTGTGACCAGAAGCTCTGGGGGGTGGGGGCTGAGCACAAGGGCCAGCACTTTGTTGCAAAAAGCCCAAGCAGTTACAGCTGTCCCACCTTAGTCAGCGTGCTAGGGAGGGGTGTGCAGGCTGAGGGATGTGTCAAAGAAGCACCACAACCAACAATGAGAAAATGTCCTTTGAGGGAAAGGGAGGCATGTGGGAAATATGTATATGTGGTAGTGCTACAGTAAAACCCATTACTTTGGAGCTAGGTGTAGGGGCTGACATCAGCAAACCCAGGACTCAAGGATCTGAGGCAGAAGAATGCCATGAAGTCACAGTCAGAAGTAACTATACATTGCATAATTAATATAACTGATTTTGAAAAGGAAACCAAATTAAAAAAAAATAAAGAACATCCTCGGCAGGGCATGGTGGCACACATCTTTTATGCCAGCAGTTGGGATAAAAATGCCTTTTGGCAGAGGTAGGTGGATCTTGGATCTCTGTGAGTTCCAGGACAGCTAGAACTACATGGTAAGAAAGACCCTGTCTCAAACAAACAGATAGACAGACAGACAGACAAAATAAGAACAGAGAGAGAGAGAGAGAGAATACCCTCTGATCTGAAACATCCATCTGGGTGAAGTGGGGGGAAAGCTGTTGTGCTAGGTAAACTCATTTAGGAAGTCAGAGATATCTGAACAACTACATTTGCTTTACGATCTGCAAGGGGTCAGAGAGCATAAGAAAAAGTTAGGATACAATTATTTAAAACTGTAGTCTTTAACTATCTTTCTTTCAAAACCCACCCAAAAACCTAACATTAGATGCAGTCCACCTCACTCAGTACATTCACAAGCCCCAGCACAGAGCCAGGGAGATAACAAGTAGGACCTAGAGCAGCCTGGGTCTCCCTCCAGCCTTTCCCATCTTCAGTGGGCCTACAGTCCACATGGCCCAGAAAGCTCCTGGAAGAAGGACCTGGCAGTGGAGTGAGGATGGTGTTGTATCCTGTCAGTGCACCCTCACTAGGCATGCAGAGAGCTAGGCATTGTGATGTATACTGCGGGGGCCTAACTAAGGAACACCAAGTGAATTCACCTGAAGGCAGAAGAGGTAAACCAGCAGCCACGTGCCTGACTGAGCCCCTAGCAGCAGCCTTCCATCCCCAGGTTTGGCTGGGTATTGAAAACGACAGCCTGCAGCCTGTATGCGGAGTCTCAGTGCCCCAAAGGGACAAATTAACCAGAATGCAAAGAGCTGGTAGCTGAGAGTCTGATTTGTATTCTAAGACTCGCGGCTCTTCTTGCAATGGAATTTTTCATAGAGATCTGGGGGTGTGTGGGGAACAGTAGTGGTGGGAAATTGCAAGAGCTGACAGACCCTGAGGGAGATGGAAGCTGAGAATAGAAGCTTGCAAGGACCACAGGCAGTGTACAAGGAGGGACAGGGCAAGAAGGAGAGCCAGGGCAGGATCTTTTAGCAGACTCAAGAAAGCAGGCCATTTCCTGAGAATAAACGTGTTTTCTTCTCCTAGCTCTTCTGTGGTCCATGTGCCTGGAGTGAATGACATCCAGTCCTCCTCATCAACGGGCCAGAACATATCCCAGATCTCCCGACAACTGAACCAAGGCCAGGTGGCATGGACAGGCAGTCGTCCACCCTTCCCAGGGCAGGTATGAATAACTATGAGGCGTGGCCCTGGGTGTCCAGAGTGACAGAACACTACCGTCTGCTTTTTTGGGTCCCAACTCTGAGGGTACATCAGTGCTCCCAGCTAGAACAGCCAGCTCCTTGGGAGTCCTTGCCATCTATGGAGCACTTTGAGAGCTGGGTCCCCAACAGTTTTACCATGTCTGCGCAGCACCCCCTTTCCTCTCACATCCTCCCCCTTAAGAAGGGGAGCAAGAAGAGGTCAGGTACCCAAAGCTTCTCTAGCAAAAACAAGACCCCTCCCCATCGCTTTGGAGCTCTGGTAGCCACTATGCCAAGAGGGCCTGTAAATATCTATTCATGCAGCAAATACTCCTGGTTCCCTGGAAGGCACTAGAAGGATAGGTCTTATTCAGCTGAGAGGCCTCTGTTATCTGAACTTGGAGAAACCAGGCCATTATAGTCCTCAAGGTAATGGTAACCAGCTTCACCCCAAGTCTCCAGGGCCAGGATGCTGGTCCCTATACCCTGGGCTCATCCCAGACACTGGTAACCAGGGCCTGATGTTCCTGAAGGGACCTCAGGGGTAGAGCTCATGGGAGGCTGGTTGGTTCTACCTCTTTTTGTCCTAACCATAGCAAATCCTCCCCAGCCCAGCAAGACGCAGTCATCTGCCTTTGGGATTGGATCAAGCCACCCCTACCCGGCTGACCCTTCTTCCTACAGCCCTCTCTCCAGCCCAGCTGCATCCTCGCCAAGTGGAAACGCCTACCCCAGTCTTGCCAACAGGACTCCAGGGTTCGGTAGGTGGGAAACGATGGAAAGAATTCTTGTTCTGAGCATCCTTTGTCCAGGATCTGAACCCCAGGCTTCAGAATATGGGGCAGCACCCCAAGCTCTCAGGATATGGGGTAGGACCCCAAAATGTTCCAGTTCCTTACCTATCTGGCTACAATCAAGAGGGCCTCTGGTGTCCTAAGTCATAGAAGCATCCACCTTGACCCTGAGGTTCAGTGTTATTATTTCAAGGCATGGTCACTCAATCCTGTGTTGTGATGTGGCCCAGTTGCTAGTTTAACCCTGTGTGGCTTGAGGCAGAAACTCAGAGAAGCAAGGGTGGCTGGTTGGGTCAGTGACACCATAAAGTTCCCTTTTCGAATATTGCAAGGTATATTTCATATTTTTCTCATTCTGTGGCAAGATACAAAGGTCACTTCAGGACAGATAGTTTATTTTGGTTCACAATTTGAGGGTCAGTCCATTGTCACACTGTAGCTGCAGTCAGAAATTGGGAGATGAATGCCGGAGTTTAGCTCATTTTTTTTTCCTATGGATTTAGAATTTCCATTGCATTTATTTTTATTTCCCCATCCCATGGGTAGTGTGCCCCTCAACAGGATGAATCTTCCCAACTCAATCTAACCTCTAAACTCCCTCACACACATACCCAGATGCTATCGACTTCCTAACATCCATCTCACTAGGGGATCCTATTTCATGTGAATTTATGTGCTCTGTGAGAAAGGCCCGGGGCCATAAAAGGTGTTGTGGCTACAGCTGTGTGTTCTGGCTCAGTCTCAGGCACTTCTACAGTTGTTCTTGGTGTATTTGATATATGCCAACATCTCTCCCAGGGCTAGGGTCACACCCACGGAAGTTGCTGTCCTGCCAGATTTCTCATGGTACAGTCACTGGGTGACATCTAAGAGTGAGAGACCCACGGATTTTCTGTGCAGACCCATCACTCTCAAATGAGCAGGAAGCCAAGCCGAAACCTCCAGATTTCACTTGTCAAGTTAAAGGCTTCCATTTAAGTGGCTCACCTGTCAGTCTTAGGGGAAACTTCCCCTCTATAGCCTGTGATACAGTGTAGTTATGAGCTGTCCCTACCTCTCTTCACTTCCACCACTAACAGAATTGCTTCTTTCTGCCTCAAAGTCCAAAGCCTTGGCCACAACATCTCAAGACTCCAGGTTTGTCTGTTCCCATTGGAGCCAACAGTTCCCCAAACACAAATCTTATTTATGCGTAGCACACACATTCAGCCTTTAATTGTCCTTACTGGCTCACCCTGGGACGGTGGTGTGAGAACTACAGACCCCTCAGTCAACCAGGCTCTCAGCTCTTTTGCAACCTGAGGGTAAGGCCCCTGGTAACCAAGATTGGGCCCCTTCCTGCTTTCGTGTATAGGAACATTCCCTTTGTCTGAGAGCAGTGGTCCCAACTTACTGTGATTTAGCCCAGTCCCTGGAGACAGGAAGAGACCTGGCTGACCCAAAGAGACTGGGCTGACCTCTAGCTCAGGCTAGAGACAGAGGCAAAGATAGAGACAGATAGAGGAGACAGGCAACAGGAAGTAGAAATACACCATGGTCTGGCAACCAGATCTTCATGGAGGCCCTGGGGGCCAGGGGAATGGTCATTTCAAGAGAGACATAATGTGTATCCATCCCTGGAAGGGCATAAGAGCATCTTGTGACCATGACAACACAGGTGGGCAGGCTCCTCCCTGCCTCAGCAGTCCAGTGCCTTTACCCGTGTACACTTGGCCATTCTCCTGAAGTGATGGCTGGTTCTGAAGTGTAAATGGAGGTAGAACCCCTGGTTGAGGTCACTGGCCAACTTTGATGACCAAGAACAGGGTCACATACTGGGGCTTCTATCTCAGCCAATTGCATGTTGCTAAGTGGTAAGTGTGCTGACACTGAACATTACAGGAGGCTTCCACTGGGTGTTTCACACATTTGAATTCATTCAGCATTTACCTGTCCAAGAAATGACAGAATGGAAGCCCTGAGTCATAATGGATCAGTGGTGGAGCCAAGAAGGGATGAAGACTGTGTCCCTCTGCTCACGGCCCTGTGCTTTCTCTCCCTTAGGACAGGGATAAAAGTTCCTATTCCCTTATTCAGGGAGTAGAAATAAGCTGGAAGGAACATCTGCCAACATGTCCCTTGCTTTGTGAGAATGAGGAGGGTGGGAACTCTACTGGGAAGGTGTGATAGGGACACTAAGGGGAGAAGTTAGGGACTGAGAAATGTGACATGACTCTGCCCTCAAGGCATCACACAGTGACTTCAGAGAAATCTGCTGTAGAGTAGGATGCAGGAACAGCATGTTTGGAGTCCATCTATGAGGATGACCAGGGGAAGAAGTGGGAACAGAGCAAAGGAGATGAGGAAGAGAGGGGGAAGGAGCCCAGCTGCAGGGGATGTACCACTATCCCAGGAGGCAGAAGAGCCCCCTGGGCTAAGGAAACCTATGTCAGTGGAGAATGTTATCTTGAGAAGGTGGCTGTGAGTCCCTGCTAATGGAGGTCTCAGCCTCTGCTGCCCTGGGACTTCAAGAAGTAGAGTTCTACTAGGGATGGGGCAACCTTAGTCAAGGTCAAAGGAGAGAATGTATGATTAGAAAGAGGACCTGGGAGAGAAATTTACTATCAACCTGCCGGGTACAGGAGAAAGTAGAGGAGAAATATAGAGCAGTCTCCATTAATGGTCAGTTTCATCAATTATTAAATAAAGATGAAACAGTTAAAGTCAATGCAGTGTGCATACTGCAATGACCACCGGGTCTGTGGGCATCCAGATGCAACCCTGACTGTGGGCATCCAGATGCAACCCTGTCTGTGGGCATCCAGATGCAACCCTGTCTGTGGGCATCCAGATGCAACCCTGTCTGTGGGCATCCAGATGCAACTCTGCCTGTGGGCATCCAAGACACAGACAGATATAACTCTGGGATTTGTCAAGGCATCTACAACAGCACCTTGCAGTATTACAAGGAAAATGGGGTCCCTTCCTCCCTTCCTTCTTTCCTTTCTTCCCTCCTTCCTTTCTTCCTGTTGTCCCCTATCCTAGCAGCCATGAAGTCTTCCTGTACATAGAACTATACTTTATTTGACACCTACAAAATGGGTCCAGCTATAGGAATTATAATTTAGGTTTTTATTTATTAACCAAAATTTTCCTTTGCTGATCCTGTAATGGGGCCAGGTGGCATTACAGGAAAATATTAGCCCCCCTCCTTAGATGCCCAGGATTAACCTTGCTGTAATTCTCAAGGCTACATCAAAGTAAGGGTAGTCCAGGGAAACTGGAGACAAATTCCCTGTGATGGTCCTTGAAAGCAGGTTTAAAGGAATCCACAAATACTAAGTAAAGGATTAACAGGTATTTATTAGGGGAGAACTCACACAATGATGGTAAATAACCACTGATGTCTTCTGGCTCCTAAAGATGCAGTCTCTGCCCTTCAGGATGCTCCAGCCACAACCCAAAAGAGATGAAACCAGTCCCTCATCTTCCTTATAAGGGGTCATGTCTGCACATCTGAAGCCATACCCTAAGATGTGGTCACCACTCCAAGTCCAAGTGGAACAAGATGCCACTACAGGTCCTAAGTAGACACAGACAAGTCCTAGAGCCTCTGGAGTGAAAAGGGGGTAACCCCTTGCCCACTAGGAGCAGCCTCCTTCTGGTCCTCTGGTACCTCCACCAATCACCTTTATGTTTGAGCATAGCCCGCAAAGGATCAGGAACACTGATTTGTGTCCCAAAAGCTTTTGAGATGTGACCTTAACCTTACCAGAGTTTAAACCAACTCCCTGCATTAACTGTCTTGGGAGTAACTCATAACTGTTGAATGCAAGTTCCTTCTGGGAACATCTCTGGGTCATTTCTTTTATTTTTGTAGAATAAGGCATCTTTACAAGGAAGGAGGAAGGGAGGGAAGAAGGGAAAGAGGAAGAGAGGGAAGGAGGAAGGGAGGAAAGGAGGGAGGGAGGGAAGGAACACTAGCAGACATGTAACTAGTGTGTTAGTAGGTTCAGAGAAGAGGCTTGCTTATATGAAAGGCTTTGGCTTTTCTTCTTTTTTTTTTTTTTTGTCTTAAATTGCCATTCAAGGTTAAAAGTTCAAGGAGTCAAATTCTCCCCCACCTTGGATGTATTGCTGAAGGGAATTTCTTTCTGCCTCATGAATTAGCTGCATACCCACAGGAATAGAACACTATAGTAACAGAGGAGCTGAGAACAGTTACAGCGTGCAGTTACAGTATAGTTACAGTGTACAGTTAAAGTGTAGTTACAGTGTACAGTTACAGTGTGCAGTCCCAGTGTGGTTACAGTGTACAGTTATGGTGTAGTTACAGTGTAATTACAGTGTACAGTTACAGTGTAGTTCTATAGAGAGGAGAGAGAACACATTGTCCCAGCCTAATTCACATTGTATCTCCCAGCTATGGGGTTAGACATTTAGTTTGTGGACAGAGACTGTGCCACTACTCTTATCTCACTCTTACTATCTAGTCCAGTGAGATGGGATTCTAGGTTCCAATTTCCCTGTAGAGAGGAGAAAATAAAGTAACTTTGTGGGTACCAGGACTTAAAGATGGCTGTCACTAAGAGCCTGCTGGGAAAGGAGTTAACACTTGTCTTATATCCATCTTTCTCTACCCAGGAGGCATCTGGATAGGGTCAGGGCTCTAAGAGAATTATCCTGAAATCTAGGAAAACACAGGAAAGAATTGTGATGGTGCATGTGGGAGTGCTGTTTGGGTCTTTAGTTTCCATGATCCTGGAAGGCACCCAGGGAAGTGAAAAGAAGAAAGGAATAGGAGGGGTGGTCAGGACTGCATGAATAAATACCTTGTTAGAGAAAAGTTTGGGGGTATATGATCAAGACCTAGCTACATTAGGGGTCCTAAGTAACCACATGGGCACTGCCACTTGAGTAGTCACATGGCTATTGCCATCGTACATCTTGGCTGATCACACAAATATCCTCTGCCTGTGGTGGGGATG